CGGGACTACATCAAGCTGATCCTGCCCCACTGGATGACCCCGGACCAGCGGGGCAAAGGGCTCTACGCCGACTACCTCTTCAACGCCATCGCCGGCAACTGGGAGCGCAAGAGACCTGTCTGGGTGATGCTCATGGTGAACTCCTTGACAGAGACGGACATCCGTTCCAGAGGAGTGCCGGTGCTCGATCTCTACCTTGCCCAGGAGGCCGAGAGGATGAAGAAGAGGACGGGCGCGGTGGAGAGGGTGGAGGAGCAGTGTCACCCGCTGAACGGGCTCAACTTCTCCCAGGTAAGGAGCTCCTGGGCTTTGTGGCTTATCCCAGAGGCAGGGGCTGTGCTCTTCACGTTTCGGTCAGTTTACAGGGATGAACCCCAAGCCTGTTGCAGGGGAGCAGGTCACTTGCGGGCCTCAGCAGCCTTTGCATCGGGCTGCCTGTTCTCCACCGCACCGATCCGTTCTGCCTGCAAAATCCTGCAATGTGCGCAGCGAGTTTATCGTGTGTATTATTTATTTGAGAGGCAAATGTCCAGGGTGTGAATGTGTGTGTCCGTCAGCTTGCCACTTGTGAGGGAAACTTCCACGCCTCCGGTTCTGTCCCAAAGCTGGTTAAAAAGTGCTTTTTTTTGTTTGTTTGTTTTTAAGTAAAGCAGCTCTGTGGTACTTGTCAGGAAGAGGATAAAGCATGAACAATGAAAAAAAAAATTTCGACATTGTTCAAATAGATTTAAGTACATGCAAACTGTCGGTCATCTTTGGTAGTCGCTCCAGGTCAAAACAAACTGGCTCACGTTGCCTTTTGTACTGGGGAAATTAAGTGTTCAAGCTGTATGGATTTTTTTCATTTTAGAACAGGTAAAGTTCAGCAAAAAGAAAAGGATGTAGATTAAGAAACGAAAGTTATTGGTGTAACTGGACTCCAGAATTCTTTCAGTGGATTTAGCTTTAAACAACCAAATACTAAGCCATGCGATCTATTTCATTTCGGTGGATTAATCAGGAACACAGTCACAGCTATTGACTTTGCTTTGTGAAACTGTTTATACGAAATGAGATTTACTAGAAATTCAGGAAATGAATGTGTGTGGAAGAAAACAAATAATCCAGGGGAAATTTAAGATGGTGTCAGTTACTGCTATGATATTTCAGTTTTAACCTGCTTTTTGTCATTAGTTTTGGATCAGCCTTTTTCCAGCTTTATCTTACTGCCCTAGTTTGAGAAAAAAAAATTGTTGGTGATGTGGGAATAAGGATTAAAGGACTGATCTTTGGTGTGATTAAAATGTCCTCAGAGTGCCTTCACCCTCTTCTCCCATGAAGTCTAGTGGGAACTGTTTTAGGGGGAAAAAGTCTGGCTTTCACTAACATTTGGTTCATCTGATATTTCAGCTAGAAGTCTGCTCTGCATATAGCCTTCATAGAAGACTGGTTGCATATGCTTTTGGAGGGATTTTCTTGTTTATCAACAAAAATAATTAAAAGAAAGCCCCTCAAGACCTTTGCATTAATTAACACATACACACACACAAAACAAGAAATTTGTTTTACCCTGTTCTGTTTGGCCAGTCCTCTCTGTTGAACCTCCTCTTTAAAGTGAGGTAAAAATAATTAACCGTTCCAGACATCCAATAGCATTTGGTTGTATTAGGTCAAAAATGGCAGTTAGAATCAAGCACATGAAAGTACTTGGTTAAAAATGTACCACTTGGAAGCCTTTTAAACGTGAATCATACCACATTTTTTTCTTTTTACAGAGAGAGAGTGAGCGATAGAGAAAGGAGAAAGGACAGAATACATAACTCACTGCTGCTCTTACCATAATTCTGTTTTTCTCTCGTTCGCTAAATTTTAAATAGAAACAAAAATGTTCCCTTCGTTTTGCTACAATAATAATCTAAAAAACCCAGCAAAAGTATTACTGCGATTGGCGAGTAAGGGACAACCATTTATGTAAAAAGTTTGTGCTGATTAAAAAAAATACATTACGTTTTAATTATTACAGAAAATTGACATTGCTGCTAGAATAGATCACTGTTGAGGAGGATTTTTCCTAGAGTGAAGCTTTTTCTGGGAACAAGGCCACCAGAACAACATGAGACAAAATTAAACAAAACAAAGCAGATATTTATTTTCTTGCTTCCTCTAGATTTCATGCATCCTGACACCTGGCTAGTTGTTTAACAATAGTAATTTGTAATGTTATCACACCGTCTGGCAGTCCTACTGCTTGGTGTATTACTGTGCTAATTTAGTGGAGTGGATTACTATTGCTAGGTTTCGCCTCCCAATTCCAGGTCTTGGAGACTTCCTTAAGCAACATGTAATTAAAACACACTAAAATGGAAATCAGAAATTGAGCAGCTTTTGTCTTGTAGGGTGTTTGCACATTTGATGAGAACATCTGTGATAAATTACGGCCCCAAATCTGCTAAGGGCATCAGCAGTTTTACCTGTTTTCAGCATTACTGTTACGGGAGCACCGCACCTAATTTCTGCTTTCAGAATTCAAGTTTTAAAGTTGCGCCTTGCTGAATCATGTCAATGCTTTTGTTTCCCCCATCCCCAAAGTCCAGTATTTTTGCCTTAAGCAAATTAAAAAAGAAAAAAAGCTTTTTTTTTACTTCTTCCCCTCAAAGGCAGCTTTGTGCTACTGCAAATATTTAATCTGACTACATGCACCAAATCTGTTAATCTGATACCATGAGGAGGAGGAAATTGAGGAGTGGTCCTGGTGTGGTACTTGGTTTTGATCTGCTTGGAAAGAAAGCGGAACGCTTGCATTTTTGACCAGGAACGATCTTTGAAACGTTCTGTGCGTGGCTTTGAAATGTTGATTGTCTTAGCCGGATGAAAAGATTAAGGTGCCTCATATAATTGGCTGCTCCCTGGAGAGCCAGCTCTCGCAGGTAGTGCACGGCGCATTGTTTTCTATTGTAAACCCAGAATCTTTGCAGTTTGATGCTCTGCTCCCCCTGAAATCTCTTCTCAGTGTTTCTTGCTGCTCTCCCAACCCAGCACCGCTCTGGTCACCCTCCATTCCCGCTGACCGGCTGTGTTCCTACCCGGCTGGCAGAGGGAGCATCCTCGCTCCCCCTGGGACTCCGACACAAAGTCCAGGCCCCCGGTATTGTATAGCTGGTGGCAAGGTGTCTGAATTGCAGGAAGAGGTTGGTTTGGGAGCCTGGCAGCAGGAGAGTTCAAATCAGGTTTGGGTCAGGTTGAAATTTCAGCGCTCCTTGGTACGTGAAGTTCCAGGTTTTTCACTGAAGGTGGCACAGAAGGAGCCGAGAGGCACAAAAAGAGGAGGAAGCAGACAACTCTTCTGTCTGACTGTAGAGGTTTATTTACAGAGTGGCCAGAAAAGTGCAAAATCAAGTGGGCCAGGACTGAGAAGAGCTGGTGAGGGGCTTCCCTTGGGATCCCGGTGGAGGCACTGCAGCCGGTGCCATGGCCGTGAAGGCTCATCCATGTGCCTCTGAGGGCCGGCTTGGGAGAGGGTTAAGCTTTCCCATCCTCTTTGGGACCCTCATGCAGGTCCGTGGTGAACAGAAGCTCTCCCCAGGCTGACGTGTGCTGTCACTGGGGTAAGGAGGATGGTGACAGTGACTCCTACAGCTGCTTGGGTCTGTCCGCATCCACCCTGATGGCCCGGGGCTGCAGTGAGACCCCACTCAGCCCCAGGGGTCAGTGTCAGCAGGCAGCATCGCGTCCCCACTAAAACCCTGTGCGGTCAGCAAAGGGGAGGTCTTACTCTTCTACCCAAACCGCTCTGCCCTGGACAGGTGGATGGTAACTCTCGCTCATGTTGGATCCTGTCTCAGCAGGATCCCCAGACTGAGACAGTGTTGATATCCCTTCCTCCAAGTGAGAAATAAAATGCCTCTCCCATCCCATCCTGAGCTCGCTGGCTTCAGGGAGAACCTGCATTCAGCCCATGCCAGATGCTCTGAATCCCAAGGTTCGTGAGGGGAGTGTTGTGTCAGGGCTGGACTCCATCGGACGCGTCGGTGGGGGAAACCGTCAGGGCAGGGAGGAGCCCCCAGCACCCCCTTTTCTCTCCCTGCCGCTGGTGGGGGATGCGAAGCCCTGACTCCAGCCTTCTCCGGCCTGTATCATTTCCAACTGCAGGGGGAGATGTTAAATATCAAACCGGTGTTGATTGGATCAGAGACGGCCTCAAAGAAAGAAACCTTAGACCGTGCCAGATTAAACTTCACACTTCACCATTCTTCCCCTTTCATTTCTTTGCCGCCTCGTTCTCTGCACAAATAAACCTCGTCTCCCTGCTTTCTACCAATGAGACAGCATTCAAGGGACAGGAATGACTTTGTTAACAAAATCAGTCTTAATTTCCCAGGTCCTGCTGTTCCATCAAACCCTGGGACATGGCAGCTTTGATTACTCTAGTGATAGGATTAGAGGGGGAACAAGTGCTGTTTAATAAAAGGCTGATGGGTGGTCCATCACGTTTGGTCACTGACAGATCTGTAGTCTTGGAGCTGGACCTTCAGTGGCAAACCAGCACGACACACTAATGTATCGACGGGGCCACGGCCTGGACTTGATATTACATCTCCCCTCTCCCGTTGAAAAAGTAAACATTTCTGTGATCACAAAGCTGGGATTCTCAGAGCTGACAGGGACCGGTATAGCTGACTTGAAGGGAAATTTGCCTGTTTATACTCATGAAAGATCCAGGCTCAAAGTTTTCCGAATTGCACTAAAGGGCTCGGTTTCAGAGGTAGTTGACTTTTGACAGTCTGTGTAGTTTATTTGAGGGAGCGTTATCTTTTTTTTTTTTTATTTTATTTTTTTTTATAGGAAAAGAGGTTTTTGCCTAGTAGAAACTGTCCCTTTTTGCTTTTAAAAAATTTCAGGCTTCCTGAAAAGGGCAAGAGTCATCAAAAATAGCTTAGTATCATCTGTTTTGATTGTTGAATATTGTTGAAAGAAATGTCATTTAAAGGTTTGATTGTACACAGTTATACATAGTGCACATAGTTTTCAGCTTGCTGGCTTTAATTAAACTATCGCTCCCTTCATCCCAGGGTAAAAAAGATTCCTCCAGTAAAATTAAACTTGGGGTAGAAATTCATACAGCAGAAATAGAAATGATTCCATTTATATGGAATACTAGAGGAGCTGCTTTACATCTTTACCAGGGGTACTGTTGAAAGTGAAACTATGCAGGTATTAAAACTACAGTAGTCACAGTAACACCTGAAAGGATCAGCAGCTGACGCTTTATAGCTGTAACTAACTGTATGGGCCGGTCTGTGCAGCCAGTTACC